TATTATTAATAAATATTTTATATTATATTGAATAATATTTTATTTTTAATTATAAGATTTTAAAATTAAACCGCGCGCGCGTCATATGTGATATACAATGCAACATTAGATATAGATAGATAGAGTGAGATGATAGATAGAGTAAGATAACACATAAAGTCAAAGGCCCTCTATTATCGAAAAAACGAGATGGACATTTTCTCTGGTCGGCGACGATGACGTATCTTAAAAATAAAACGTGAAAATTCATAGATTCGGACTTTGCATCGCGATATCTCCGCTCGTAGGGCACGTAGAAAAAAAATGGAAGCACTTTTATCATACAATTTAAGTTTTTCCTGTCGATTGAGCGTATGTAGAACTTGATCGGTTCAGCCGTTACTGAGATCTGATCATCTCGACCCCGAAAAATTCTCAGTTTCGCGTAAAGGAGGCACGGTAGTTTCGCGCGCTTGGCTTAGCGCCGAGACACTACCGTGTCTCCAGATAAAAAGAGGGAAACCTTTGATTATTGATTACTGTAATGTGTTTCTTTCTTAATTCTCAATCGCAAATTAATTAATCGGTAGTGATTAATAAAAACAAACTGATAAATTCGTTAATAAATCGATCAAACGTGTGTGAGTAAATTTGTGTGAAGATGATACGTGACACGATTAATGTGACAGATAAAAATTTATTATTTGGTGTTGGATTTATGAGAATCTTATTGGAATTCACGGATATGGTATTATTCTGCCTATTTCCAGGCTTACGGTAGAAAACATCAGAGAGAGAGAGAGAGAAAGAGAGAGTAAGAGCGTTAGAGAGAAAGAAGCGTGTATTGTCATGACACGCGTTTCATATGTAGCAAGCAGTTAATCACAATCGGACGCCCGCGTCGGACGATGAGTTGTGTCGCCCTTGCCTACCTTCCGTACGCGACTCGTAATTCGCCAACTATTTTCTCGTATAATTCAAAAACTAAGTTTCGGATAAAATTTTGACAAAGGAAAAAATGTCTTAGAATTATGTCAGGAATACATTATTTCAGAGATAAACGTTTTTTCTAAGACACCCTGTAGATATATCTTTTATTTGCAACAAAATAATTGACAATGGTAGATAAATTACATTCACAACTATATTGCTTTACATCTTTATCAGTCATTTGTTTTCCATTTGGCTAATTACTAATTACTCTTTTTCTTGTTTTAGAAATTGTTCTTTATTATATCAAGTGTATGTACACACACACTCATTCACCCACCCACCCACTCACTCACTGACTCACTCACTCATATATGTACATCTATATATACATATATATACTCGATGAGTATATTCTAAAGAAAATTATACTTATGCACAAAGACTATAATGTTCTTGTGCATAAATAATTTAAGATGTATGTAGATAAATACATCCTTGTTTTATATAAAATATAAAGTTCTAAAATCTTCGCAGACATTGCTTCACGTCATATGAATGATATGACGAGCAGCTTCAAATCAAAAACTGAAAAATTTGTGAGTGATATCCAATCAGATTTGAGACAGGATAAATCGATTTTAAAGCACTTTAATGATTCTAAAATGACCGATAGTGATGGGCCAAGAACTTATAGAGAAGAATCGCGATTTTCTGAACATGGTAATAACAATAATATTACTTTTCTTAAGGGGGGAGACCACTGTGACCGGTCGGAAAAATAGGCAATTTTTAAGCATGGATTATCGACGAAATAAAAGAGCTGTAAACTTGTGATTTGGTATTTGAATTAAGTATATATCAAAGATATTAAATGTATACATAAACAGAAGAAAAAAAATTATAATATCATTTATGAGTATGTAAAAAAAAAACAAATTTTGTTTGTACCGGTTATTGATGTCGACGATTCCTCCATATTGGATTATTTGATAGCAAAAAAACTAATATTATTAAAGTATATTATATTCCCTAATTGACCGAGCTTTTTTAAAAAACTTTTAATTTGACTGAAAAAAAAATTTTTGAATTTTTGATTTGGTTTTTAGTACAAATTTTGTTCATTAATTTATTAATATCTTGCAAAATAACAATAATATCGTAAAAATTGTTGGTCAATACTTAGAGAAAACTATAAGGAAACTAAAAAATCGAAGTTCACATTAATCCAATGAGTATATCACGAGAAATCTTCGACACTGTTTTGAAAAACATGGTTTCAAGAAGAACGCATTTAAAGTTTTACATATTTTTTATATTATATTAATGCAAATATTTTTGTTCTTATTTTTGTTCTGCCTAAAGAAGAAGGGATACACAATAGGGGGAACACAACGTGTCCTGACCAATTTAGCCTACGTAGGGCATGTACGGCCAATTTTCTAAGCGACCGACACGCAGGTACGAGCCTGTTGTAGGTCGACTGTAGGCTCTGTAACTCGGAAACTAACTTGAATTTATACTTGGGACCTTTTGTTCCTTTTTCTACAAGCTTCAAACTATTTTTTAAAAGAAAAAAAGTTTTTTCGATTTTTTGAAAATTTCACAGTGGTCGCCCTCCTTAATGAAAAAAACAGATTTGACTGTTGTAATTACAATGTAATTTGTATATGTATTAAATATATTTGATTATATATAATTGAAAAATATATTATAATACATACACACACACATTTACATAAATTTAAGATCTTTAATTTCACAATCAGTATAAAATATAACGTATATTACATATGAAAAAGTCCATAAAGTACATAAGCGTAATATAAGCATTGATCGCTCATTGACGCAAACAGGAACAAAACGAATTGATCCGGATACTGGACTCATATATTTCAAGTACGATTTTGGCTACGAATTCGGTATCATTTTACCCGGCGAAGATAAAAAGACGATTGAAAGCAGCAAGAAAGTAATTCAAGAACGAAGACGTTCCTGCGATACAGAAGTGCCTATAATTCATGAGTTTACTGAAAATAAAACGAATGGTTTCATGAAAAAAGGCACGTTTTTGAATCGTCAGATAAAAAATAAATTCGGAAACTCAAAGACTGTTAAATGGGAGCCAACATCAGAAAACGACTCTTCTGAAACTGAAGACATGAAAATTCTCAATAAGAGACAATCGAAGGGAGCTGGAATAGAAGATTCGATGGCGCTTCCAAGTCTCGTCATACCTAGTTCTGTATCATCTTCAAGATGGGATCGAACAACGCCCAGTCCGTTTTCTTTTAGTCCAAGTCTGCCAAGTCTCTCTCCAAGACAGAGTAGCGCTACTGCACCTAGTAATGTGGATTCTGCAGGTACATACCTGCCGTAGAGAACGCGTTAACGTTATTCAATTTTCTCTTACTTTGCTTTAATTGTTATATTATATTTACAGTTATAGTATAGCTATAGTTTTTATTGTAATTTGTATTAAAACTGCCTTGATGCTTTTTGCATACTCGGATTTTTCTCGAGATTTCTTTAATAAATTTACAATATCATAAAACGTAATTTAAAAAATGAATAATTAATAATAATAATTAAATGTAATGAGCATAACATTGTTTAATATAACTTTAAAACTAACAAGTACTAGTGTGATACTTACTTTCATGCGTGCTAACATATTAATTATTTACTTACAATTAGAATAACAATTTTATAATAAGGATCTATAAGCATAAAACAAATTCGACGGTTAAATGACAACAATTTAACAAAACAAAAACTTTAATTCAAAATTCAAAATAGTAGTAATAGTAGTAGTATATTAATGCAAGTGGGCTTAACCAGCCTACTAGCGCGACCTAGATCCGTGAGGTTCCATTGTCGCTCCTGCTTGCTTCCGTAGGTTATTCAGTCATTATACTGCTAGCCTACGCATTTTTCTAAATCCTTGGGTGTCAATCAAATGTCCCTCAGGATTTATACTGATGTATAGGACCTAAATAGGACCTACAATTTAACGCCGAATCCGAACGGCGCTGATGATCGTATATTTTTTGATCACCAGGTGGAGCCATTTTTTGGCTCATTAAACGCGAAAAATCGCGTTTGGGCGCAGGTGGGATTGAACTCGGGTCTACAGATCGCGAGTCAATCGCACTGAGTGGTGAGCTACTCGACGCCTTAAATTCAAAATAAATACAACATAAATCCAAACGTTTCGACACTGATTGAGTCATTTTCAGTGTTACAGTAATATTACAATCAGGAGATGCGGTAGTATCTCCGGCCATGTTAAAAAAACTACTAGTTAATTTAAGTTTCAAAGGTTATCGTTATAATAATAGACACTAGAGTCTCTTATATCTCCAAAGTCCATTTTTGGGGAGTGCATAATTTCTAAAATATAAAAAATATTGAATCGCACGTAATAATGTCTTGAAAGGCGGCATCGGCACGAATAATTTGGGCCAAAAAAATTTTTAATCGGTCAAGCCGTTTTGGAGATACAAGCGGTCGAAAAGTGGTGATTTTAATGAAAAATTAAGAAACGTCTCCTCCGTCCGCCCGTCCGTCCGTCCGAAATTATAACTTTTTAACATCCCCTCTCACCTTTCATTTACAGCTCTACTATCTTCGAACCACTGCACGCCCTCCCCCCTCCCCTCCCGCTCCCCCCACCTCTCTCTTTTGTCGTATTTCACTCTCTCTTTCGTTATTATAACTTTTTAACACCCTCTCACTTTTCACTCACACCTTCACCATCTTCGACCCACCGCACCTCATCTCTTCTCCCCTCCCTTCCCCCCCCCACCCCTCTTCTTCCATATATTTCACTCTCTTTCGTTATATAATATTTTTAAATCATTTTTTTATATATATTTATGATATATTTGTATTCTAAAAAGTAAGTGATATCCGAAAAAAATATCATAAAAATGAAAAGTTCAAGCCATGTTTAAAAAAGATAATAAAATTTATACCTTTTTAACTAATAATAATATATTACCACAAAAAGTAACTGATATATTATTAATTAAAGGTGCCAGTTCAAAATGAACATACATAAAGTGTATGTAACTTTCGGCCGATTTTCGAATAGTATTGTTCGGAGATAGGTATAAAAGGTTTAGTCATGTTCAAAAATAGATCCTCGCAAATTAAAAAACCCAACAATTTAAACCTTTGAAAGCTAATCGCAAAAATTTGAACGTTTCAAAATTAAAACGATTACCTAACCACAAAATAAAAGACCCATAAATTTCAACCTTTGAAAATTAACCCCAAACATTTGAACCTTTCTAAATTAAAATGATTATCTAATAATGTAACCTAATAATTTAAACCTTTAATACTTTAAATGATATTATCTAATATAATATATTACCACGAAAAGTAACTGATATATTACTAAATCTGCCAGTTCAAAGTGAACGTACATAATGTATATTTTCTATGTTGAATATGTACCACGAAAAGTAAATGATAGATTACTCAAGGTGCAAATTCAAAATGAACATACCTACATGTAAGTAAAACAGATTACAATCTGCATATTACAGTTTTCTAGAAAATAACTGCAATTAACATACATAAAGTATATTTTCTATGTTCAATATGTACCACGAAAAGTAACTAATAGATCATTCAAGGTGCAAATTCAAAATGAACATACATACATATAAGTAAAACAGATTACAATTTGCATATTACAGTTTTCTAAAAAATTTCTGCAATATGTTATTCTTAGTGCACAAAATATAAAAGTCGGTTATTGAGATTTGATTTAAAATTTTTAATTTATACTAGCCCGTGCAATGAAAAATAATTGCTTGTAATTCCAGAGTACCAATCTGTTAATGACTCGGAAAAAGAACATGGCGGCCTGCTCTCAAAAGACTTTCGATGGATGGAATAAATGATTGAAATAGAAGTTATGAAAATGATTTAGATTAAAAGACTTTAATCTTTCTTTAGTCGAATTTCTAATTTTTGTTTGAACTTCCGGTTTTGAGTTAGTTGTATTATAGCATAGATAAGAAATTTATCAATTAACTCTGAAAAAAAAGTGACATCATTCTTACGGTGCAAGTACAAAATGTAATAGTGTTTGGAAGATTGATTTAAATATTCGCATTAATGACGGCAAGCCTCGATTGGTATTGTTGAGAATGACATAAGTAAAAGGCATTACAACATAATTTTGTGTGTTCACATCGTTATCGTTATGGAGCTTTTGAAAATACGGTGGGTCCTTATTTTATTCTAATCTAATCTTATTATTCATTATTTATAAGTAATACTTTTCGTACTTCAAGTGTCGAAAAAATTACTCCGTACAAGCTTCGACATTACTTCTAAGTGAACAACGAGAAACTCATCAGTCTTTTGAGAGCAGGCCGCCATGTTCTTTTTCCGAGTCATTAACAGATTGGTACTCTGGAATTACAAGCAATTATTTTTCATTGCACGGGCTAGTATAAATTAAATAAATTTCAAATCAAATCTCAATAACCGACTTTTATATTTTGTGCACTAAGAATAACATATTGCAGAAATTTTTTAGAAAACTGTAATATGCAAATTGTAATCTGTTTTACTTATATGTATGTATGTTCATTTTGAATTTGCACCTTGAATGATCTATTAATTACTTTTCGTGGTACATATTCAACATAGAAAATATATTTTATGTATGTTCATTGCAGTTATTTTCTAGAAAACTGTAATATGCAGATTGTAATCTGTTTTACTTATATGTAGGTATGTTCATTTTGAATTTGTACCTTGACTAATCTGTCATTTACTTTTCGTGGTACATATTCAACATAGAAAATAACATAACGTATGTTCACTTTGAACTGGCACATTTAGTAATATATCAGTTACTTTTCGTGGTCATATATTATATTAGATAATATCATTTAAAGTATTAAAGGTTTAAATTATTATGTTACATTATTAAATAATCATTTTAATTTAGAAAGGTTCAAATTTTTGGGGTTAATTTTCAAAGGTTGAAATTTATTGGGTTTTCTATTTTGTGGTTAGGTAATCGTTTTAATTTAGGAAGGATCAAATTTTTGCGGTTAGTTTTCAAAGGTTTAAATTTGTTGGGTTTTTTAATTTGCGAGGATCTATTTTTGAACATGGCTTGACCTTTTCATTTTAATGATATGTTAGGATTAATAATATATCAGTTACTTTTCGTGGTTAATATATTATTATTAGATAATCATTTAAAAGAAAAAGAGAAATGCCTAATCGAGTCTTGTACACAGGATGTTAATGTGTGTTGATACGATTTATTGAAAATATACAATTTTTCTTACGTTTCGATCCTCGGTTTGGATCCTTATCAAAGAACTTCTAATATAGAATACACATTGTGCTACCTAGAACACTTTATATTAAAATGTACCACGAAAAGTAAATGATAGATTATTCAAGATGCAAATTCAAAATGAACATACCTACATATAAGTAAAACAGATTACAATAAAAATATTACAGTGTTCTAGAAAATAACTGCAACATACATAAAGTATATTTTCTATGTTGAATATGTACCACGAAAAGTAACTAATAGATCATTCAAGGTGCAAATTCAAAATGAACATACATACATATAAGTAAAACAGATTACAATTTGCATATTACAGTTTTCTAAAAAATTTCCGCAATATGTTATCAGCCAAAAGTTGCATTTTCCTCCTCACCGCTCCGCGTGCAGTCGAAATGTCCCATGACAGTCGAATGGTATTGTTCTGCGCTCGGTGCGGTGAGGTGAGGGGAACAGCGAAAGCTAGACGAAGGCGATTCGAAAATCAGCTGAAAGTTGCATTTGCCCAACCCTCCCCACCTCATCTCACCGCGTGCAGTCCAAATGCTCCACGATGATCGAATGTCATTGTTCTACGCGCGGAGCGGTGAGGTGAGGGGGATAGCGAAAGCGAGGCGGAGGCGTATTAATTAACGTGTCGACTTCGGACAATATATTTTTATTTATTGTGATATCGTAGGTATATCTTCGGTGCATATTATTACATTATCATATTAATTAAACGATTCGTGCTGTTCAAATCACATTTCAAAGCGATAAAATACTAATTGGTTAGATTTCACTGTTTTAAATAATTTAAAGTCAAATTACTATAGCCTATAAAAAACTATTTAAAAAATGAAGGACTGAGTACCAGTTATGTAATTAACTCTTTAAATTTAATTCTGTAAAGGATTAAACGTTCTTTACCACTTTCATTTTTAAAAAATTAAGTTATTTAAAACAGATGTTTTAATAAAAATGATAATTTTTATTTTAAATAAGTTTTCAAAGCTTATTTAATGTTTTTTATACCAGTCAACAGTC